AACTGTGCTCTTTATTTTCTGCTGGTTGAAAATATTGGTCCTATCATAACTTCATATGCTCTGTGTTGTGTGTTGTGCTGAAGGAGACTGCTACAGTAGCCAGAACCATCCTCTACATTTAGAGGGTCAGTGGCAGTGCAGGTCACCACTCACCACTGCACCACTTTGTTGGGTTTAGAATCGCCAACAGACAGAAGCTGTGGTTCCATCCTTCAGAGGCTGCATTTGAAGACAGACTGCGTCACAACCGTGCGACTAGGCTGTCCCATTTCAAAGGCTTCCTTCAAATGCATTCGACAAATGCGTCCTTCCATCCCCGAGAAACGAAGGCTCCAGCGGGTGGATCCTTCTCGGGCCAACCTATCCAGGATTCATTGCACTTCAGAGAGGTTTTGACACTAGTAAGCTACAAGAAGTCCAATGCTTGAGTATCACGCTTCAACTAACAACTATGGTACAAGTGCTAAAAAAAATCAAAGGGCATTAAAACTTTTTTGGCATGTCCAACTGCAGCTCTGTTGCTGGGCAACAGAAATATGGGTGGGAGGAGCTGGTGAGCACAATCACTGAAATTCTCTGTAGACCACAATGTCTAATTACAGTTCAGCCTTTGCAGTCTACTCATGCCCACGAAGGAGTTAGACTGGGTAGACCATGTCCTTTGCAAGATGCAGCCCCTGAATTGAGACACAACAAAAGACATGAGCCAACCAAGGAAGAGAGGACATTTGCCATATCTACCGCAAAAGTATGCTTCAGAGGTTTTTTATTTTATTTTGTTACCTATGCCAAGGAGGTCACCTCTGTTTGTTGGTTGATTGGTTTGTAAGCAAGATTATGCAAAAACTACTGGACGGATTACCACAAAACGTAAGCTGCTTTCAGACATAAAATAAACTTCACAGTTCCTCCATATTTTCTCCAGAGGAGGTGCATGAGTTACCGCAAATGTCCGAGTGAGAAGATCCAAAGTGTCTGCAGATTGTCCTTGCCTTGCCTCCAAATATAAAGTCCATCCAAATCCTGGGGAATTCAATGTGTGAACACACCGGGATTCACCAAAATTTATTTGGGGGTGGGGTATAAGGAAACAGCAGCGTATTTCAAATTTCATATTCTCCTACATACGAAACAATAATTTAACATGAGTTTTGACGGACTGTCTCTGTGCAGCAACTTAAATGTAGTGCAATGTCCAACACGTCTGTTTTGGATCCTTGAAACTCTCAGACTTTAACAAATTGGCCAGATGGAGTCAGGGAAGGAAAAAAAAGGGGCAGTTATAGTAAATGTGGTCAGTTTCTTGTGTACAGGTATAAAATCTGATGGGATGGTGACACCACAGACATGGTCACCTCTTACCACATCCACTGAGAGGCTTTCTAAGGGAAACTCTGTTTTGAAGATGGACTGACACATGGATAAAGAGACGGGTGGATGGATGGACAGACAGAGTATTGGCAGCCAAGAGTAAGCACTTCACTGTCCTTTACTGTACTGTTTCATTTAACATAATATTATTTGAATCTACTAAATTAACACTGCTTATCAAGAGACCCGACCTCTGCCTGTCTCACTCCGTTGTCCCCCCTTTTACAATCGCTCCCTTTTGTTTGACTCAATCTCGTCCTCTCACTCCCCTTCCCTGGCTCTGCTTCCTGTTCCCCTGTCCTCCTTTGACTTTGCACTTATTTCTCACACACACGACCAGCTGCAGATACAACCCTTACAGATGTCATTTTTATGGTGTGGTGACGAACCTGGTTGTTTCATTTTACAAACAAGCTGCTGGGATCTGTGTGCACACACACAGCTATTATGGGTTCTCTGTGCCTGAGACAAGAGAGAGAAATAGTGATTTTGTTTCTGAGCAGTGTGTTTTTACTAGTCCGTCCTTGTCTGAATGTTATGAAATGGGATGTTGGAACACAGTGGGTGTAAACCCATCAGGCATCATTTAGCAAATGGCTTTTAAGACTGTGCTGTTCTAACACGTCCACTATTAATACAATGCAGACTACCTACTGCTGTGTTCTGACACTTACTTCAGCTATATGTGTCAGTGTGTTTATTCTGTTAAAACGTCCCTCTCTATCTTCTCCCTACCCCTGCCTGTCGTTCTCTTTTACACTTGAAAGGGACACATCTCCTCACAGAGACGAGCAGCAGATGGGGATGAGCAGGGTCCCTCTCAGAGCTTTAATTGGTTGAGTGGGACGCAAAGTGCTCCTGAAGTCACATTTGCAAATATGATTCTCTTATTATTCTCTGTCCAGTTGGTTTTCACAACTACACAAAAGCCTCAGTGTTTTCTGACAGACAGCTTAAGGCTGCAGGCGTCTCTTCTGTAGCCTTGAAAGTAAAAATTTAATGATATCATACAGTAAGACAGTGTTCTGAGTCAGTGGAGAAGCTTGCTTGCTCTAGTGCGAGCTCAGCTGCCCATCAGTTATGTGACCCTTGACCCTCACCTAACAGCAGTCCCTTAGCAGCATTTCCTCACAAGACTCCTGTTTGAGCTGGACTTATTCTTTTTTCTGTGGAAGAGGCTTCAACTTTTAACTTTAGAAAGAGGTGAAACATGTTGGCAGTTCTGTATTGAAGACACAGTGACAAATAGCATGTTCATTTATTTATATTCTACATATATCTTTTCAAAAATAAATTTATATCAAAACCCTCCCTCTATGTTTCTTCCTGGAAATGTTTTAATGTGTTTGATGACTCAGGGTCATATAGATAAACTTACCATCATTAACCATGAGCTAGTATAAGAGCAAGACTTTTTTGTGGGAGTTTGAGTTAAATCAGAAAAAAGTATTTTCAAAGTTATTTCAAATGACACTAAATGGAACTGAGCAACATTAAGGTTATTTCTTAAGTCTGACCTAGATTCTTTCACCATTGCAATGGAAATTAGCATGTAAATCAGCGTTTGAATACTCATAATAAATCATTACCACATAATAAATCATTAAGAGTGTCAGTGGGTGAAACACTGGGACATTAACATATTTATAAATTACAACAATAATAAATCCCAAATTGTGAAAAGTAAAGTTAAGTAACAGTTGATTTACTATTACTGATGTATAGTGCCACCAACACTCTTGGGCAGACCTATTAAAAAAGGTAGTTAAAGTTAAATAGTGGATGTCTGGGTCCTACTGTCACCTAGTCAGACAAGTTTATTGTGTTTTAGTGTTTAAGAGAGAGGGAAAGACACAAGAGACACAAAGAAAGAGAAAAGTGGAAGCTCGGTTGACTCACCCTGGAGCCCTAAACCACACTGCTCTCGTTTTCAAAATATGAGGGAGCGTGTGTGGAGAAGCTCAGCTGATATAAACTCGGTCAGTTATAGCACGTCTGCCCTCTATTTCTCTTTTGCTCCCACACACACAGACACAGACGTGGAACAAAGGATCAAGAGAGCACAGCTGAGAACACAATGAGCGGCAGCAGGGCAGCAGTCCCTGGTGCTTAACATACAAAGACTGACTACTGGCTTCGGAGGGTTGTGCGTGTCCAGCAGTGAATTCCAATGTGGGCACCAAAGCAGAAGAACAGCAGCCGTTTGACCTGAGATCTGAGCAAGACTGCACTGTTTGTTTGTAACAAAGGTAACAAACTGAAAGGGAAAGGTAGGAGAGGAGAGAGCAGAAGAGTGGCCTGAGAGTTTCCCTCTTGGTTTCCATGTGACAGATCAAACCAGGAGCCGGTCTACTCTGCATATGGAACCAATTAGAAATGTGAGACTGTGGGGACTGCATGAAAGACGGACGATCAACCAGCAGCAGATAGGAGAGCAGTGTTTTGACTTGCCAACTGAGCTTTTTTCAAAGCTTACCTGTTCACAAGCAGCTGAATGTTAGGCTACAGTGATTTATTCATATTGTATCATTGCACTACAACATATCATTTAGAGTAGTGCAGCGATGGGGTGAATGTGTTTCATTCCATTATGAGAGCTCCATAGAAAGAATGCATCATAGACTTTACGTTTGCAACAAAAGTGTATTTTCATTATCATCTGTCTTTTTTTCCAACTTGTGAATCATGCGATTTGTCAGATATCCGTAAGTTGTCCAGTACTCCTTCCCTTCCCTTTCACAGAGTCTATATTGTCTAGCCAACTGTCCAAGACCTAAACATTCTCAATGTCAAGTGATTATGCCAATATTGACATCTTAGACGAAAATGCTATGAACATCTGCATCGAATCCAGCTTCAGCAATACTTCTAGTCGCTGTCAACACTGACTCTGGTGTATATTTGGCTTTGGGGTCCTGCCCAAGTTAGGAACCACCCTAGATAGCATACAGATGTGGACCACTTCAGGCAACATGGCAGCACTTCTGGTCTTCTTGTGATGCGAGCCTAAGGTGCCCAGTTGTAAAATAGCAAATGCCCAAATATCCCAAAACAAACGTGGGCCTTTTCTGGCAAACATGAAGTGCTGTAGGCAAGGTAATCTGGATGTGAACCTAAAGTGGCCCATGTGGTCAACGGTGAACATGGCCCAAGTAGCACAGAACTAATTTGGGCCACCTTTGGCTCTTTTGGTTGACATGCAGTATTGCTCTGGTTTACATATGACTATGACTTCCGAAAAGTCATAATTATCGACTTTTTATCACAATATTTCAATTTTGTCTCATACTTTGACTTTTTATTTCATAAATTCAACTTTTCATCTCATAATTATGATTTTTTATCTCATCATTTCGACTTATTAGCTCATAATTATGACTTCACATATTTTTGATAATCAAGGCTGCAGGTTATACTATTACAAATAGTGATAGCATCAAATGAGCTGACTCGTGATAACTGTCTGGTTCTGGTGTATGAGCAGACGACAGTAAGACAGAGAGAAAACTGGAGCTGGAGAGTTTTCACAGCTGGTATTTGCATACTCAGCATCTATAACTCAGCCCAAACTTTTGGTGCCTGTGTGTGCGCTCTCCTCTGCAGCCTGTCAACATGCAGCGCAGTCTTACCATGGTCCTCTCCTCTGCAGCCTCTGTGACCCGCTCATCTATCGCTGCCACATCTCTGCACACCGCTGGACAGCCGCTGGTCCTGAAGCTGCAGCCGCGGGACACTCACGGCTTTAAGTTTGAAAATCCGCCGGCAGCTGACGAAGAGACGCAGCTTTTTGTTTGTCGGGGGTTAACAAAGTATCACAGGTAAGAGGAGCACAGATCAATACTCGGTCAGGTCGTCTGCTGCACAGCGCACATTGATCAGCAGACTGCGGTGAACCCAGCCTTCCTCCTTCTCCTTCTCCTCCTCCTCCTCCCCCGGGAACGCGCCGCTCAACGCGTGCGTCTGGGAAAAGCTGATTTCAAAATAAAAGTATCTGCGCGTTCAAGAGGAAGGAGGTGATCGTGCAGTGAAACTCGAGAGGAGTCCTTCGTGGACAAAAACCTTCCTGCAGCACAGGCTCCAGTAATCGAATAATCGAATTGCTAGAATATGTAGTTATATTGTCCACAACTGCATGGACAATATAACTACTTATTAATTTATATGTATTCATATTGGAAAGCAAATATGTTCATGCTATGCAAGACATTTGTTTACACTCAAACACTCAAATAAAAGAAACGAGAAGAATAAAAACACATATCAATTTCTATATATATATAAAGAGAGAGAGGGGGTACATATGTTATGTGCAGTATTTTATAGTTGATTTTTAGTATTTATATTTCCTACATGTATCTTATACTTAGTATATATGTTGTCTTTCTTAAATCTTGCTGAGTGTGTTATGTATCTGCTGCTTGTAACACAGGAATCTTTTCAGTTTGGGATTAATAAAATAAAGTACATCTATCTATCTATCAATGTTTTCTATCTATCTATGTACGATTTATAGTAACTGATCCTTCACCCACAATAGGTGAACATATATATTTATGTATAAAGCCAAAATATTTTATATCGGTAACATATTTCAAGTGCAAATGTTTGGGAACATTTAAAAAACTGATACGAAGCCTTCTTTCTTTTATCAGAAGGTCCAGCTGTTGTTCCTGCACCGCTCTGTACCGCTACAATCCAAACTGGTTCAATTGATACAGACTGCATGGAAGATCAGGAGGAAACTAGAATATGTCCCTGCAGCCTGTTAACCAACAGGCTACCCTGAGGCAAGGCAGCCAACTGAGCACCAGTTATACAGCCTAGTGGTTCAGAGTTGCAGAGTCCTTCAGAGCAGATTTTCTGTTAATAACACTTAAAAAGTGGCAGATAAGGCTTGAGTGGGCACAAGGGGATCCTCTATGTAAAGGATTTGTAATGGAAAAGGGTTTTCTTTGCTTTGTTTCTATGTGTTTTTCAGGCTTTTCAAACTTTGGGATTTCCTGTCTGTCAAATGTCGTCTTTTTATGAATGCTAATATTAATTCCCCACTTAAATGAATTTGATCTTGAACCTCACCTTCATACCCTGATAATGTCTAGACATGTCTCATTCTTCTCATTAAATCCACCAATGAGCTTATGTTTTCATTTATGTTCATCTCTCTGTTATTTAGCAGGATTACGCAAAAAGTATGAAACCAATCTTCATGACATTTGCAAAGGGTGCGGCATGACCCAAGGAAGAACCCATTCAACTTTGGGGTGGATCTGGATAAATGATTGCATTTCACTTTCTGTAACATGGAGAGACAGGGTGTTCAAGCCTTGGTGGAGGTATCTGTGAATTGATATTTGTGGATGTTTGGAGAAGGATTGAGAAGCTGGTAATTCAGGGAGTATCTGGGTGGAGATAGCAGCCCCTCCCTCAGCTCTGGGTTGTGCTTTGGCAAGGCCCAGAACCCCCAACTCCTACAGATCCAACAGATCAGCCTGTGGTTTTACTGGGCAACTTCCAGCTCCCATTGGACGTTTTCAGACATGCACATCGCCCCAGGAGATTCTCTGTATTTGTGTATCATGTGGATCAAGATTTCAACTTGCTGTATCCTGTCTTCAGCTGCATTTCATTAACTGAAAGGATACAATAATGGTTCAATTCTTCTTCAGCAACAGCAAAAGATTATTAGGGTCTCATAGAAATGAGCCCACAGACTCTTTTGACCTTTGATGAAGGTTTAGGGTGCCCTCTAGTGTTTATCAAGCCTCTCTCTGTTTCTCATTCCTTCAGGAACAAACCCTGCAGATATGGGCGGACATCAGGCTGGCAGGAGAAGAAAAGAGCCATTGTATAACACATGCTGATATAAGAAGCAGAACATGCATCCACCTCTGTGAAAGTGTTATGTTACTGTGAAAAGCAGAGGTTTTCCTCACGTACTCTCAGGCTGTGTCCCAGTTTCATATAAACAATGAATTCCAAGCAGGCTCTGTGTGCATTCAGACAGGAAAAGTGAAATAAAAGAATTAAGATCTCTGCATAGTAAATCCACTTGTTCTTTTGAGGGTGCTTTTAATCTACTCGACTGCCCCACAATGCAATGCATAAAAGAAAATAACGAGGCCGCTATCAACTGCTGGTAAATTAGCAGAAGCATATTTCTGCCATTAGAACAATAATTATTCTCAAAGCTGCAAGCAGAATAAGCACTGACACTCAGTTCGGCCTGATAATCATTATTGTGAGAACTGTGAGTTTTCGCAGTGTTGAAAAGTCTCAACCTTTCTAGTGCCTTAAGATGACGTGTGTTGTGATTTGGTGCTATACAAATAAAACTGAATTTAATTGAATCATTGTTAGGTGATGTCTCATGGTTCCTGCAGATGTTCATCACTGTGACTTTGTCTTCTCTTACTCCCTCAACCCATGGAGGCTTTTTATGTCTTTATATATTATAAACATGATTTAGGTCTATTTTATTTATGTGAACTAAAACTGAAAACTTTTAACGAGTCACAATTCCCCAAGAATGACCCCAATGTGACAGTGACTTAAAATAACAGAGGAGACAAAACTCAGCAAGAAGACACAGAGAATGGATCCATCAGCACCATCTATGTCCACATTCATGTTGCTCTATACCCTCAGGTACAGTAGATAGCATCGTTCTCTTGGGTGGACATTGAGCTGGAAATCTCTCAAACTGAAAGAGATATTTTCATGTTTCTCTTGGTCAAAGACAGCCCTGAGAGTTTATTGTCCAGTGTAGAGCAGTTAAAATAAAGCAGCTGTGTAAACAGTGATTGAAAACCGATGAAAAATCTTCTCCCAGAAACAAATAACACTATTGTAGAGACTCTGACATCAGGCAGAGCATGGCCTCAGCTCAGAGACTCATCATCTCAGAAATGTCCTGCAGGAAATGAAAACAATCTTCTCAGGATGATTTGACCAAGTCAGAATCAGACCCTGGGTGGGAGGATCTGTGCTACATTTTATTATACATAACACAAAACATTTAAATGAAGCTAAGAACTGAATTATTTTCATTAATATTTCTTCAAGATAGAAGATATGCAACACAAGCACCTGGGGCCAATAAGGAGCCACAATTTATACAGGAGGAGCCAATTATCTGTGCAACATTCAGTCACAGGTGCACGTCAAGTAATTCCTTGTATACTGTGAGCTCTGCAGCTGTGAGCAAAGCCACACATCATTATATATATTTAGAAAATCCTTCCTTGTTCAGGCATATTGTGATCTTCAAAAAAGCTTAGATAATACAACTTCTCAACACATTGTCATATTATATGTTAGTATTAACAAGAGAGGAGCACTTCAGGTTCCAATCAGATTATTACTAACCATTGTTTGTGACAGTGTCCTCTTAATGAGCTCGTCAAGAGTAGCCGTCCTTCAGCTGAATGTAAAATATGGAGCCATGCACTTTGTGCTTCATTGTAAACAGCAGCCAGATTTTACCATCATTTGCTGACTGCAGGTACAGGGCAGTTATAAATGACTTCCTGTTTCATTGAAAAACATTGAATTAAAAGAAGAAAAATAAGAAGCTTCAGAAATACAATGGAGTCATCTTAGAACTGTTGTTTATGTATAACATTAAACCAAAAGAGAGATAGGAGCTGAGCCTATGATCGAATGATTAACAGGACTGACTATTTTTGTGTCAGGTCCTGGTGGGCCCAGTTCCTTAGTGGGTGAATAATTTAATTTAATTAATTTAATTTAACTAACCCCTGGTGGCACAGTGTAAGACCCTTGCTTCTCTCCAGTTTTCACTCATCCCATAGAAAGTAATACACAAAAACGTGTTTCCTTTAACATAAATTGTCTTTGTTTGATTCCTCTATTTAGGATTAATACTTTTACAATAAAACTGAGCATATAACTTGATTTTAATACTCAATACATACAATAAACGTGTTTGTAGGGCTTCAGTCGGCACCATTCTGTGCCCAAACAACAAAAGCAATATGAAGGTAAGGAATGTTAAAGAACACTGAACATCAAAATATGTTTACAGAAAAATAAATAGTGAAAATTATGGGATTTAATATGAACAAACGAAAAGTGCAATGACCTCCTCAGTAATAAATACAGACCAATAAGAAAAGCATATTTACTAATGTTCACTGTGTGTACTGGAACCACTAAGGCTGCAGTGAGATGTGTTACAGAACTGCGGCCAGTAGGGGGCATTGTTGATATGTATCAATAATAAGAACTCATCTACCAAGATCATGTTGTAACCCAAAATTACAGAGATAAAATCCAGGCTCACTATAGAGTGCATCTCTATTCATGTGCTACTAGAATCCAGACTGCAGCTCCATGCAGCTGGGCACACCTCCTGTTCAAATTCAAGGGTCAGAAAGAAAGGAAATACTTTTGCAATTTCTTCTCATTATGGCACAGCCAGTTGAGATAAGTTCAATGTTTTGATAGGTGTGGGCACCAGGCCCTTAATACCCCTGACAGTTGGTTCCTCTCTCTTTTTGACCAGCTGTCCCTTACTCTCCTTTGTCATCACTTTGCTGTCCCAAACTTTTAGTAATGTTCAACATTTCTTTTAAAGCGCTGAATCTATCTGAACCAAAGGCTTCAAATACATTTCCATTTCTATAATCAAACACAGCAAATCTCGACAGTCCTACTGCGCTTAGAACCTTATGTGGCCTGTATAAATTTGGTAAGTCCAGTCTGGGTTAGAGCCTCATCCAAAGGCCTGCAACAATAACTGGGATTCAAGGACTTCAAGATCATTCATTATTGTCCATTCAGCAGTCAGAGGAGCCCAGATATGTTTGGCCATCTATAATCTCTTCAAAAAA